ATTTTTTGAATCTCAGATTAGCGGGAGTAATTTGGCCAAAGATCTTATTACAAATTCCGCTAATCTGAGATTCAAAAATTGGGGTAGAGGGGTTGTGCTTAATTTCGGAACTATACGGTAAATGTTTATTCGGTAAAAAAGACACTATTGACCAGGATAAAAAAAATCGTGCCGACGATACAAAGTAATGCTAATACAAATGACCAAAGCGCATTTTTTAAGTTTATTGAGGGTAGAAGATTTCACAATGTCGATGGTGTACAGTATCCATTGCCTAATGATGACGAAGAAAATGATAGATTACATACTCAGCATTTCTTGTTTAGGTAAATGAAATCCGGTTCATACTTATACTTAATTCCTAATTATTATACTATATTTAATAATAACAATAACAATAATAATAATAATAATAAGCTTTAATAATGAAATATAGATATGTATGGCAGAACAATTTCTCTTCACCTGTTGATCACATTTTAAGTGACCCTAATGCAAATGCCCAAGTTCTCGATGTTGGGTATGTAAGAAATCGTCGAGTTTTTATTATCTTCAATATAATAATAAAGTAAATGATATTATAATTATTGTCAGTTGTGGCGCAGGTTCTTGGACACTTAAAATGGTATGCTATGATATATTTTTCTAATTAATTAATTTATTAATTATATAGAATTCTCACATAATTAAAATTCAAATTGTATTAGGCAACAACCTATCAGAAAGCCAATTTTATAGGTTTGGACATGACACCACATCAACCTCTAAAAATCAAACCACGTAATGTTTCATTTGTTCAGGCAAACGTATTTGGAGGGCTTCCATTTGAAGATAATGTATTTGATTTTATCTACCATCGATTATTATTTACTGGATATCCGATGGCCATATGTGGTGAATGAAATGGTGAGAGTATTGAAACCTGGTGGATATTTAGAGGCATGTATAAACAAAGTGATTTGAATTATGAAATCAATTGGTTTATTAATGATATAAAAACATAATTATTGCATGCAATTCATTTTATAAAGTTGACAGAGTTAGATCCGTCAGTGAAACGGACTGGACCTGCTGGAAAGCGTCTTTTTGATGGATGTAATTATTCTATTTATTTATTTTATTATTCACTTTAAAAAGTATAGTTGAAATATTCATATATTTACTTCTATAACAAAGTGTGTACTTTTTTGAGTAAAGGAGGCGGAGATGTAAATGCATGCTACAAATTACGAAACCATGTAACAGAACAAAGAAACCTTGAAATTATAAATCAGGAAGAAAAAAAATGTATATTATGGTAAAGAGAATGGAAGGCTTGGAGAAGTGGTAATCAATTTTTAAATTCAAGCTAAATAATTAATGTTGCTAATATCGTACAAATTTTGCAATATCATATCTGTATTTTAGGCGATAGATAACTCAATGTGTGTAATGAGAGACTTGAAGACACCATTAATGAATACATTGCAAGTATCTTCCGAAGAGTACGATGAGCTTTGCAAAACGGCAACAGAGGAAATAAGAGAGTTAAACTCTTATTATCCTATGATTCGTGTTTATGCGAGTAAAAAATTTGAATGAAATTTAATTCAAATTAAGCTTAAGATTTATTATTTATTTATATAATTCAATGCAAAATTTTCCTACATATGGGGGGCTCCACAGCAAAAGGTGGTGATGGGCCAAAAAATTTTTTTCTGTAGTTTTTTGATATTGTGTTCTAAATGATCTAATTTTTGCAAAAATGAAGTTTTTATAAAAAAATTTTTTTTGACCCATCACCACCTTTTGCTGTGGAGCCCCCCATATGTCATTATATCATCTATCATTAATTCTAACTTATTTTGTATTTTACGAGTTTTGTCAAATTTTTTAAAAAATTAAAAATAATTCGTGCCAAATGGTCTAAATGCCTTAGGACCTAGTATGTATTATCAACCTAAAACTTATTCTAAAAATTTTTGCATTGGAAGGTTAGAAATGCCGAAAATAAAATTTTCAAGAAAGAACTTTTGTTAGGCAGTTTTTTGAGTAAAATTTCGAGTTATACCCGGTTTTTAGAATTGTGACATTAAGTGGTATGATACTCTGGTGGAATTCTAATTGCGCATTGCAAAATGTAGGCCGTTTAGGTTTTAAATTACTGTGGCATTACAAACTTAAAAACTTCTTTAAAAATTTTCGCTTTATATTAAATCAGATTCTTGAAATTGATTGACCGGCAAAAATTTTTATAATGGGTAGCTGGTTATGGATTTGTCGACCAAATTCGTATTTCAATCAAATTCGTATATTTAGTTATACCATTGTTAACTCACGATCTAGTGATTCATATTGGTGACTTTGATACTAATAGAATCTTCTCAGTGAGAGGATTCGAATGGTATCAAAATCATCAAGATTCATTTACTAGCGAGTTATCAATGATAGGTCAAAATATACGAATTTGATTGAAACATGAATTTGGTCGATAAATCCGATATGTCGACACTTTTAATAATAAAGAAATAGCCCGATATATCCAGACGTCGGTCTATTTAGAAACATATTCATATCAAGTATATGGTTCAGAATTCGGTATAACCAGAATAAACTGAACTCAGATTCGGTCAAAAAATCTACCGTTTATTCATTCGTTCGATTTTTTTTAAATATTTGAATATCGTCAAAAATTGAATATTTTATTAAATGCCCGAATACCTAATTTAGTGTATTAATTTTTTTTATTTAACTTTTTAAATATTGGTTCATGTTTAATATTAAAATATGACTTGTACTTATGTATAAAGTACTGTATATCTTTATCGTACGTCTGAACGAAATTATTGTAGATTTAGAATCCGCTTAGGTTGGAACGGAATTCCAGATGTAGTCCAAGTTGATACGAAATTTAAAAGCGACTTAAGTCGATTCTATATTTGCAACTTAAATTGATTTAAATTCAATATTGTAATAAATCATAGTATAATATCAAGGTAAAATAAATTTTTCTATTATTTCTTTACTTTTTCATTATTTGCAACACTCTTAACTTGATGACCGAATATTATTATCCACCTCGTATGAATAGTTGCCATCCTACTAATCTTAGATATAAAAATTTCATGTTATGCTTTTAGATTTAATTAATAAATAACCAATCAATTTGTCATTTAATCAATAAGTAGCTGCGCGACATTGTCGCGCTAAACCAGGAACGGATGAATATAAGCTTAATTTAGACAACTCCAATACAGAATAGTTATATATTCGTTTGAACTTCGATAAAATAAATATCGGATATACAACTAAATACAACATAACTATATTGATATGAGACACTATAATTTAGATGAACAAGAAATTTCATAATATTTTTAGATGTATATAGTATAGAGTGTAAATACCTCTTTAAAAAAAATATCATACCAATCCACTATAATTTTCTAATATTAACCCTAATGATACATAACGCCGGAATAGATATTAAATATAGGGGTATTTCACATCCCATACTGTACAGATTTGGTCATACTAATCTGTATAATTAGAAATGTTCTTGACAGGTGATAATTATACAGACTAATGTGGATAATAAGCTAAATGAGAGTTAAACAGCGCATATTAAATACTTAAATCAATTAAACAAATAAATTATCGTTAAACTTAGAGACCAATGGTGCTCTCAGTGTGATTAGCTGCTACTAAGATCGTGCACAATGTACGCGACTTTGTAATCTGTGCTCGGTTTGTAGTCACGTGATGAAGATCATTGAACTAATGCACATGCATGCACATCGCTTAAAGTAGAATATACACGAACACCATATACCGGTAACAATATATATTATTTTACGTTTCAGAATTAAAATTAAATGGTCTAGTATCCGAATCATTATGCCAGTTTCAG